GGGTTTGGGGCTGTGGGTGTGGGGAGCTGCGGGGTCTGTGGGGGGGCTGTGGGGACTGCGTGCTCCCCAGGCACACAGGGGCCCTTGAGGAGTCCACGGAGTTGGGCAGAAGGAGGCGGAGCCCGGCGTGAGGCGCTTCCCAGGCTCTAGTGAGTTCCTGGAATTCGGGGATTCCTGCTCGGGCATCAGCGCCTGGAAGGCGGGGTCGGAGGCGGGGGGAGCCCTCGGCGGGGCGGGCGCTGAGCCCGGCGGTGCCATTCACTCCCTCCGAAGCCAGCGCCCAGGCCCGCCAGCCGCCCCCGCGGCGCGGTCTCCACCCCTGCTCCGACCCCGGCCCGCCCCAGGCGCTCGCAGCCGCCGCAGGACGTCGTCTCCACCTCGCGGCGCCCTCTGCCCACTGCGAGCCCCGCAGCCCGCGGCGAGCTCAGGTGACACTCGATCAGAACCGTCGCTGTGCCTTGCACTGTGTCACCGTAAGGTTCTCCTCAGGCGAGCTCATGTAACGCGGACGGCGACCCTCAGGGAGACGCGGACGACGCCACCTGTGCGGCCGCGGGCTGAGGCGCCGGGTCAGAGGTCACGGGGGCGGGGCGGGCTGAGACTGCAGCCGCCCAGGCCCCGCCCCTCCCGACGCGGCCCCGCCCTGCTCTCCCAGCGCCTGACCCGCTCCCAACCGCGTCCTTGCCCGCTGGGTCCCCTGGGCTCCTCAGGTCCCTGATCGCACATCCTGGGTCCTCCACGCGCGCGACCGTCCTGCTCCTGAAGGGGCCTTCAGGGTGTCCGCGGGACGCAGCTATTCCTCCCTGACCCCTCGGGCCTGTCCTGGGGGGCCGCCCTGGAAATAGCTCGAAGGAAGGAGCCCCAGTGACTCAGGTGACAGTCTGGAAATTCAGTGGCGTCAGCTCGCTGTATTTTAACAATGGGGCCCCTGCACGGGCCCAAGACACCGGTCAGCTCGGGGCTGCGCCAGGAGCCCCATCAAGGCACACACCCATTTCCGGGATTGCCCCCCACCCCGCCCCCGCCGCACGCGCCCCGCCCCCGGCGCTTCCGCGAGGTCTGGGCGGCTGCGTGCGCCCGTCGCGAGCTGCCCTAGGTGCGCGGTCCCGCTCCAGCCACGCCCGCTACGCCTGGAGCGCAAGGAGCAAGTTCTGGCGGCCCCACCTGCAAAGCAGATCGCTTCTCACGACCGTGCAGCTCCGCTCGCTGCAGCCCTGCCAGCCCCGCCTGGACGGAGACGGGCCGCAGCCTGGGAGAGCCTCCAAGGCTGCAGGCGGGCGCGGGGGCCCCGTCCAAGGCGAACCCACAGAGGGCTTCCCCTCTGGCTCCAGCGGCCTCTTGACCCCACCCCACCTGGCACCTGCGGCTCTGCCAGAACTCACCCTGCCCCTACCTTCCCGCCAGCCCCCACCCTGCTGAGTGTTCGGGGCCTCCCTGCTGCCTGCAACGTTCTGTCAGCAGCCAACGGGCCGGGCCTTCGGCCTTTTCACGTCCCGGTCCAGATGCGGAGGTGAGCTGCGCACTCCCTGGACGCCTCTGCTCCAGTGCTCCCCCTGAGAGGCCTTCACTAAACCCGACTAAAGAGCACCCACCCCGTACCCCGCAGACCTAGGATGCACCCACCCGCCAGGGTGTCTCAGTGCCAGGGCAAGGTGCGGGCCATCCAGGCTCATCCCAGCACTCTGACCCTCGGTCCTCCCACTGTTTCTCTAGTATCCCCTACACGCCGCGTCTCGAGACTCAACCCCGCTGAGCTCTGGGGTCGTAGCTGCAGCTGCTTCGGCGCTCCAAGACCAGAGAGGAAGCAAAGGCACAGCTTGGCAGCCAGGCATCGCCGCTTTGGCCTTGCAGGTGAGGGGGGTGATGATGAGAGTTCCCACTGAGATCATGTTCCTTGTGGCGCAGGCACCGTTCTGAGTGCTGGACCTGTATCCACCACAGCTCGGTTCACAGACAAACAAACAAAGGGAGGCCTCTGTGGAGTGTCAAGGGCCTGCTGCGTGGCTGGAGGGCACCAGGTGGGGCTCCTGTCTGCGTGGATGGTGGGTGGGGAGGTGAATGGACAGGCAGCCTCATCTGCCAAGCCTGGAACGCCTTTGCCCTTGGATCTGGGGGGCCTCCCACAGGGATCTCCTGTACAGACAGGAAACAACTTGTAGGCAAGGTTGTCCTGGGGCGCAGTCCAGGAGGCTAACGTCTCCACGGAGAAGCGCTGTGCATTCTCCAGAGTTGCTGACAGCCCTGGGGTGCACTGTTAAGTTAAAGGAAAAAAAGGAACAATACTGCTTGAGAAAAAAGTAGGGAGTATTTTAGAGTGTGGGTGTATATTTTATATATATATAAACTTTGCTTATTTTTTCAAAAAGAAGCCCCATGGATATGGGCAGAGAGGATGGAGGTGAAAGTGAGAGACTTCTTTCTCTGGGTGCATTTTTTCTAATTTTTTTGAGATATAATTCACATATCATGTAATTCACCCATTTGCTGTATATAATATATTGGATTTTAGTATATTCACAGACATGTGCAACCATTAGTAGTTAATTATAGGATATTATCTCAAAATGAAACTCTGTATCTGTTAGCTAGCACCCTGATATTCTCCCATTTTCCCAGCCCTAGGAGGCACTAATCTACTTGCTGTCTCTGGATTTGCCTCTTTTGACTATCTCATATAAACATAATCAAACAATATGTGGTTTTCTGTGTCTGTCTTGTTTCATTTCACATATATGTTTAAGGTTCATCCATGTTGTAGCATGTTTTAGTACTCCACTCTTTTTTTTTTTTTTGAGTCTCCCTCTGTAGCGGGTTCACTGCAACCTTCAACTCCTGGGTTCAAGCGATTCTCCTGTCTCAGCCTCCCGAGTAGCTCGGATTGCAGACTCGCCACCAGGCCTGGCTAATTTTTGTATTTTTAGTAGAGACGGGTTTCACCGTGTTGGCCAGGCTGGTCTTGAACTCCTGACCTCAAGTCATTCACCTGCCTTGGCCTCCCAGAGTGCTGGGGTTACAGGCGTGAGCCACTGTGCCCAGCCCCTACTCCCTATTATGGCTTAATAATACTCTGTCCTATGGATCTACTATTTTTTAAAGTTCATTCATTCACTGATGGATGTTTGGATTATTTCTATTCCTTAGCTGCTATGAATGCTGCTACTATGAACATGTATGTACAAGTTACTGTGTGGACATAAGTTTTCTTTTTTCTTCCTTTATTTTTTATTATTTGACATAAGTTTTCATTTCTCTCAGGTATACGCCTAGGTCATGTGGCAATATTATGTTTAGTTTTAAGGAACTGCCATATTTTCCATCTGTACTATTTTACATTCCCACTGACAATCCATGAGAGGTCCAGCTTCTCCACATCCCCCCATGCTTGTCACTATCTGCCTTTTTGTTCACAGCCATCCTCGCAGATGGGAAGTGGTACCTTATTGTGGTTTTGATTTGCATTTCTCTGATGGCAAGGGTGCACATTTCATCTACAGTTTTGACATTTAATTTCATTTAATAATATCACATCAAAATTAATTTCTTAAAATAAAAATGGGGGTGGGGAACCCCCAAAATATAAAGAATTGAGTTTCCCAAGTCATGCTGCTGCTTGGTGGTAGAACTGAGATTCTGGCCCAAGAAGTGTGCCTCAGAGTCCCCGACCCTCCACCTTCTGCCTACTGGATATTCGCCAGCTTTTTTGGCTGTTGTCCAGTCAGGGCCTGTGATACACCTTCCTTAGGAGGGTTGCTTTAACCAAGACAGAGGATGGTGGGTGGACCACCCATCCTCCCAGGCCTACTCCCTCTGTTACCAGCCCACTTCTCCAGCTAAGGAGGACATCTGCTCTGGGGCTGGGCGCTTCCCATGCCCTGACTGGGTATAGATGGTCAGGCTGGGAATCCCCTCCCCATAGCTCCCTCGCACTCCAGAAAGGCTGGTGCCTGAGGATACCCCCTTTTCTGGTCTCCAGCTCAACATCTAGAGTGACTGGAGGGAGGGATACAGGGATGTCTGAACACACTGGGCGAGGGCGTGTTACGGGGAGGCTGGCTTTGGGAGATGCCTCCCCACACAGATTTGTATTGGGGATGCAGGGAGGGGCTGGGACACCCTGTCATCCTGTCCTCGCTGCTGGACATCTGGCTGGAGCCACTAGACAGCACAATTGACTTAAAGCTGGTACAGCTTATCAGGGACAGATGACCAGGGCTCAGGGGCCTACCATTACCAAGCAACCACAGTCAGGTGTCACCAGGTTAGAGAGTGAGACAGATGTCATTTAAATATCTATTGGTTCTGCTAACAGATAGGAAGGCCTGGGGGTGGGGGAAACAGAAATATAGGAAGCAGTAAATAGCCCAGTGGGACAGAAGTGTGCAGCCACCAGAAGGGGGCTGGGGACTGTCAGTGAAAAGAGTTAGGAATTAGGTGACATGTGACCAATGTCCAGGGAACTTCCGTAGGAGGGCTCTTCTCCTGCCATGTGAAAAAAATTGGCAGAGTAACTGACGCAGGATCAGCCTCCTGCCTGGCTGTAGGCAGGGCCACTGCAGACATCAGATGCTCCACCAGCCAAGAATCTAACCCAATATTCCTTAGAAAGGTAACTCTGATAACATATTGATGACAAAATTGTAGAATTGTTCATCTAGATGTTAATGAGAATCAAATCCACAATTTTAGCATTGTGAAACACATGCATATGGTCTTTTCAGCATTTCTTATGTTTTGGATAATGTGGCCCGTAAGAGTCATACGCCAGCCTTGTAATGAGAATTTAAAGTTAAAATTGAGGAATTGGCCGGGTGCGGTGGCTCACGCCTGTAATCCCAGCACTTTGGGAGGCCGAGGCGGGTGGATCACAAGGTCAAGAGATCGAGACCATCCTGGTCAACATGGTGAAACCCTGTCTCTACTAAAAAATTACAAAAAATTAGCTGGGCATGGTGGCGCATGCCTGTAATCCCAGCTACTCAGGAGGCTGAGGCAGGAGAATTACCTGAACCCAGGAGGCGGAGGTTGTGGTGAGCTGAGATTGCGCCATTGCACTCCAGCCTGGGTAACAAGAGTGAAACTCCGTCTCAAAAACAAAAACAAAAACAAAAAAAAATTGAGGAATTAATTTAGACTTGAGATTTTAACTTCTTTTTTTTCTTTTGAATTGGAGTCTTGCTCTGTCACCCAGGCTAGAGTATAATGGTGTGATCTCGGCTCACTGCAACCTCTGCCTCCTAGGTTCCAGCGATTCTCCTGCCTCAGCCTCCCAAGTAGCTGGGATTACTGGCACCCACCACTGCACCTGGCAATTTTTTGTCTATTTTTAGTAGACATGGGGTTTCACCATGTTGGCCAGGCGGGTCTCAAACTCCTGACCTCATGATCCACTCACTTCGGCCTCCCAAAGTACTGGGATTACAGGCATGAGCCACTGCGCCCTGCTCAAGATTTTAACTTCTAATTTTTTTTTTTTTTTCTTTTTGAGACAGAGTCTCACTCTGTTGTCCCGTCTGGAGTGTAGTGGCACAATCATGGCTCACTGAAGCCTTGACCTCCCGGGGTCAGGTGACCTTCCCGCCTCAGCCTCCCATGTAGCTGGGACTATAGGTGTATGCCACCAGGCCTGGCTGATTTTTTGTGGAGACAAGGCTTTGCCATGTTGCCCAGGCTGGTCTGAAACTCCTGGTCTCAAGCAATCCACCTGCCTCTGCCTTCCAAAGTGCTAGGATTACAGATATGGACACCATGCCAAAAAACTCTGAAAATGTAGATCACCATATTTCAATATACTTACTTGATTACATACTTGGGAAGGTTTTTTTTTCTTTTGATGTTATTGAGACTATTAAACTATTTAAAAAGAAAATTAAAACTTAAATGTTCAAATGTAGTTTACTATATTTAAAGAGTCCTTCTGACTCATGCAACCCCATGTGCCTGGCCTGTGGCCGGTGCTGGTGAAGCAGGAGTGGCCGAGAGAAACAGACCTCTTGAACACTGAACTGGGAAGGAAGGGGTGATTTATTCCACTGGGAGCAAGGTGGCATAGTTGCCTAACAGCCAAGGGCGTCTAACAAAGGACACCTCAGCCTTTATATAGGCTTACAACTCAAGATATTACATGTGAAAGGGTCTTGGGCTTATAGTTTTAGAAAGTACATGTGAGGGGGTTGTGATCCATGAAGTGTAGGGGTTTGAGTGAGATTGAATGGGAACAATAGAGGGTGTTTCTCCATATCGCCCCCACCCTTAAGATCACCAGAGATTTAAATCTTTATTTTTTAATTTATTTTTATTTTTAAATTTTTTTTAAAGATGGGGTTTCACCATGTTGGCCAGGCTGGTCTCAAACTCCTGACCTCGGGTGATCCACCCACCTTGGCCTCCAAAGTGCTAGGATTACAGATGTGAGCCACCGTGCCCAGCCGAGATTTAAATCTTTAATCTCTAGGTTTTAATCTTTAATCTCCAGGCCACTGACCTGATGCGTGCTATGTCTCAACTTTTACTTCCTCCTTCTTTGAGACAAGAGACAGGAAAGAGGGGTTTCTTTCCTCACTGGCAGAGGAAGAACACATTTAGGTGAGTGAGGAACGTGCCCTCTAGGGATGGAGGTCTCCTTTGTCGGGAGACCACAGGGACTCGAGGTAGTACCCCAAAGGGAAGAGATGCACAGAGTTGGCACTGAGTTGTAGAGGAAGGACCATGGTCTGTGGGCTTCAGGGGCAGGGGCAGGGGCACACCTGCTGTGAGGGACCAACACTGTCTGATGGCTAGCTTGGCTGGGGATTCAGGGAGGGTGGGCGAAGCGGTGGACCCAGTGAAGGACTTGCGGGCTCTGCCCTGGGTCC